GAAAAAAAGCATAGGCATAAATACTAGTATTTACACAAGACAATAAAAACAAGCATTTGATAGTATTGCGGGCAATACAGTAGTCCCCTACCGGTCCCTCAAAAAGTTCTTTAATTGTCATACACTCCTGTGTATTGCCATTTATAATGAATTTGAGGATGAAGTCTGTATTTGAAAATATCGACCACAAAACATAACAAAATAAGTTTGTCTATATCACAGTAATGTGTTAAGTTTCCATGCTTAGTAAGGAAATTATGTTTATACAACCTTGTCATATTATTAAGATGTGGGATTTTAAAGTAAATCCTATAAGGAATGAAGAAGTTGGAGTGAAAATACCAGTTTCTCGAAAAAAATCTAAGTTCAAGGGGGACATAATTCTGGAAATAGTCTTGCTAGAGTATTTAACCTTCTCAAAAATGAGTGATAATAAGAAACATATATATGAAGTTTGAAGTAGATACATTAGGAAATAAAGAAGTTATTTAAAAAAGACAACATTTTTTTTCATAAAAAATCTAAGTTCAAGGGAGGTAATATTGATATTTTTTGTGCTAGAGTTATAAACCTTGTCACATATGATGTGGTTGATGACCAGGAACTTATATTTAAAGTTTGAAGTAAACACCTTAAGAAATAAAGAACATATAGTGAAAAAGCTGAAAAATTTAAATCAGAAATCTTGAAATTCAGGCTATTTGTTGCCATAGCAACCAGAATTTTCAACATAGGAAGAAAAGAAAAAGATGTGCATAATCTCCAGACTGCCATCTACCCATATTTCAAGTTTCATAAAAATATTTTCAGTACTTTTTGAGTTATCACTGGATCCAGTTTATGTGTTAAATTTGCCATATTTTCAGACTATTTGTTGCCATAGCAACCAGAATTTTCAACATAGGAAGAAAAAAAAAAGACGTGCATAATCTCCATACTGCCATCTATCCATATATCAAGTTTCATAAAAATATTTTCAGTACTTTTTGCGTTATCGCGGGATCCAGTTTTGTGGACGGACGGACTGACGGACTGACAGACAGACAGACAGACGGACAGACAGACGGACAGACGGACGGAGGGTAAACCTAAAGTCCCCTCCGGTTACACCGGTAGGGGACTAACAAGGATATATACATATATAAATAAGACATGTAAAATTATATTTTCTCCCTCACTGATAATACAATCATGAACATCGTGGTGCTGTTGAATCACAGATAAGCTACTACTGGAGATTATTATTTTTTGCCTGTAGTTTAAAAACAGCATTTTTAATTATTCATTTAACTTTTTTCAGAATAATTTCGTTCAACCAATTACGTTATTATTTAGGATACAATGCAGTCAATTTTGACAACACCTGTTTGAAAAATATAAACAATGATATATGATTTTGATGAACATCAAAATGACATCATTTTGTGTCATCATCATCATTCATAAGAACCAAGACTAGATCCAGCTCATAATTATGTTATTTATAACAAAAATAAAAGGATGTATAATTATACTGCATACTGTAAAAAAATTAAGCATGGCTTTTCTTAATTAAAAATAATATTTACTCAAAACAAAACGGAAATATACTACAGTATTTACATATGTAAGCCCGGAGACAGATCTTAAACTTTAAGCTTGTGAGTGAAATAACCAACAAAAACAGCTGATTCCTATGACAAAACATTCAAACACAACTTTACAGACAAAAGTTAACAAAAGTAATCAATTATAAAAATAATTCTAATAAGCATAGCAAAAGAAAATATAAGCATTGCTAAATACTGAATGTGATTACATTTCCTATCACCTCTGATTGTCAAATTTCTCCTATAAAAACAGATCACATTTTACAAGGTATCCTTTAATTGGTGGGTTCAGTTACTAGTCAGAAGAAAAAGTAGTGTAAAAATAAATACCAGAAAACAATACCAAACTTCCATGAAATTTAAATTATCTTAGACAAAATGTTAGACATAAACTTAGTTTAGAAAGACTCATTGCTGAAATGAAAAATAAGGTTGATGTCCATAACAACAAGTGGAGCATATTCACATCATGAACACACGCTACTGACTGGAAATATTAAATGAGCCGTGTCACGACAAAACCAACATAATGGGTTTGCGACCAGCATGGATCCAGACCAGCCTGCGCATCTGCGCAGTCTGATCAGGATCCATGCTGTTCGCTATCAGTTTCACTACTTGTTATAGGGTTGGTAAGCGAACAGCATGGATCCTGATCAGACTGCGCGGATGCACAGGCTGGCCTGAATCTATGCTGGTCGCAAACCCATTATGCTGGTTTTGTCGTGACATGGCTCAAATACTATTTACATGCTTAGTATGAAATGCTTTTTTTTTTTGATAAATGAAAACATATCTACCTGTATAAATAATTAAAATAACATATATCATGCTCTAGATTACTTTTCCATATTTTACAATCTTTAATAGCATAATGTTAAATCAGTTTAAATCTACTTATTCTCTATAAAAGTTTTTTTTCCTGATGTTTTAAAAAAATCTGTAATATGGTTGTAAATTTGTATAATGTATGCAATGTATTTATTTGTACCAACTGGACAATAAATTTTTTTAGTAAAAAGTAGTGTAAAATAGTAAAAACGAAATCTTTAAAGCATGTCTCCCTCCCTATTGTTTCTATGGAAACAAACATTGGGTCAGTGATATACGCAATAATTTGTTTATTGGTTATTTTGCTCCGTCAACAGCATTCTTGATATAATACTGGCAAACAATTAACTTAAAATTGTACTAACATATACCCCCACATGTTATGGTCAACATAACTTAATTGAAACAACAGTGGGAAAAAAATTGGATATACTGTAATCAACCAAATTTCAATTAAAACCAAATGTATTTACCTAATAAACACAATATACACAAATCTAAACAGACAGATCTATTGCAACTTCAAGTAGATACAAAAGTACCTTTTCCCAAAGTAAATCAGTAATAAAATAAACACAGATTCCTTGTCAATATGAATTTTTAGATCACTAGTTCAGTACAAAATGAGCAGCGTCCGACAAAACCAACATAATGGGTTTGCGACCAGCATGGATCCAGACCAGCCTGCGCATCCGCGCAGTCTGATCAGAATCCATGCTGTTCGCTATCAGTTTCTCTATTTGTAATAGGGTTTGTAAGCGAACAGCATGGATCCTAAAAGAGATCAGACTGTGCGGATGTGCATTCAGTCTGGATCCATGCTAGTTGCAAACCCATTATGTTGGTTTTGTCATGACACGGCTCAAATTATCATTATCCACATCAACATGTTATTATAAACATGCAAATACCAACAGAATGAGAAGCACATATATAACAACTCTGAAAGACATGAAATCAAATAATATCACTTATATTGAAGATTCTTTCTCACATAGAAAAACAAAAATACTGTCAAACTGCAACAAAACTGACCAATACCAAGTTTCACTCAATTATGATATTATACTCATTATAATATACATGTACTTACTATATAATATGGAATATTTTACGTTTTCACAGTAAATCCAGGAGTACAAACAAATTCTTACAGTAACAGCTTTGACAATATGTGCAACAGGTAGACTAATCAAGAGAACAGTAGGGTACCATGAAGCTACATGTACATTGGTGAAAGAAGTCCAGGATAAGCTCGAAAAAAAAAAACAACAAAAAAAACCCCAAAAAACTCACTTTTGCCGAGTTCGAAATAACAACTTTTGCACACAAAAAATGAAGTGTACAACTGGTGTACAATTATATTTACATTTATGCTGTGACCAGACATTTTCTAATGATTTATGAGAAAAGTGTTAAGTTTATAACTGATATATTCTTGAAAAAACCCCTAACCCATTAAAATCTTTAAATGGACTTATATATCTTTCAATTCATCATGTTTAGATACATTTTTAAATTCTGTACTGACTAAATAGCAAACAGTGCAGTCAATGATAAAGCAGCAATGATTTGTAGAATGATGACTGACTAATACTTCATTAGTCATTTTAATAGCCTGTTAATGGACAAATATTTAAGGAAACTGTAAAAATAGGGTGATTAACTGTGATATGTAGAGAAATAGTCTAACATGTTTAATAAACAATAACAAGACAGATATGTCATAAAAGAGATAGTTTGTAAAACAATGTTTTCTTTTTCTATTCTTCAATTATAACGCAGTTTAATAAAACTTTGACAGAAAAAACAAGAGGGCCATGATGGCCCTGAAGTCGCTCACCTGTATATAGGCCCACAGCGCGAGGCCAGTTAAAACCCCAGGGTTTTATTTGAACAAAATTTGTAGACACCCATTAGAAGATGTTTCATGCTAAACATCTAAGGTCTAGCTCGTTGAGTTTTTAAAAAAAAGATTTTTTAAGTTTTTACTATACACATATAGTTAAAAGCAATGACATCCCTAGGGCGGGGCCAGTTTTGACCCCAGGGCTTTTATTTGAACAAACTTTGAAGACACTCACTAGAAGGTGTTTCATGCTTAATATCTAAACTCTAGCTATTTGTTTTTATTCAAAGAAGATTTTTAAGTTTTTGCTATACACATATAAGGAAAATTAATGTCCCCCGGGGCAGGGCCAATTTTGACCCTTAGGGCTTTTATTTGAACAAACTTTGAAGACACTAACTGGAAGATGTTTCATGCTTAATATCTAAACTCTAGCTATTTGGTTTTTTCATAGGATTTTTTTAAAAAGCTTTTGCAATACACATATAAGGAAATCAATGACCCCCGGGACAGGGCAAATTTTAACCCCAGGGCTCTTATTTGAACAAATTTGGTAGACACCATTAGAACATCTTTCATGCTAAGTATCTTAGTTCTAGCTCTTTGGGTTCTCTAAAAGAAGTTTTTTTAAGTTTTTACTATATGCATATAGGGGAAAATCAATGACCCCCTGGGGCGGGGCCAATTTTTGACCCCAGGGCTTTTATTTGAACAAAACTTGATAGACACTCATTAAAAGATGTTTCATGCTAAATATCTTAGGTCTAGCTCTTTGGGTTCTTTAAAAGAAGATTTTATAAGTTTTTACTATATGCATATAGGGAAAATCAATGACCCCCTGGGGCTGGGCCAATTTTGACCCCAGGGCTTTTATTTGAACAAACTTGGTAGACACCCATTAGAAGATGTTTCATGCTAAATATCTTAGCTCTAGCTCTTTGGGTTCTTTAAAAGAAGATTTTTTAAGTTTTTACTATATGCATATAGGGAAAATCAATGACCCCCTGGGGCGGGGCCAATTTGACCCCAGGGCTTTTATTTGAACAAACTTGATAGACACTCACTAGAAGATGTTTCATGCCAAATATCTAAGCTCTACCTCTTTGGGTTTTTTAAAAGAAGATATTTTAAGTTTTTTCTATCGGTAGCCATGGCAACCAGAGTTCTGCATGGAATTAAATTCTTTGAACAATTTTTAAAGGTGACCACCAAAGGAACATTCCCGTGAAGTTTGGATGAAATTGGCTCAGTGGTTTATGAGGAGATTTCATTTAAAGTAAAAGTTTATGGACGCCGGACAGACGCCGGACGAAAAGCCATCACAAAAGCTCACCCTGTCACTTTTTGACAGGTGAGCTAAAAATCACAGAAAATAAACAAGTTTCAGTCTGACAAACAGTGACTGTAACAGCAATATTATGCACAATTCTAATCATGTGATAGTATAATAGTTAAAGCTCATTACCTCATAACATACATAACCAAATAACAAGTGAGTGTATGTAAAATACAGAAAAACAGAATCCCTAAAGAAAGCCAAACACGGCAAAATTGAAAATGTTGTACAAGTTGTAAAAAACAATACAGCCAAGTACAGGTTTTAAAAACCTCAATCACCATTCTTACAGATCTATACTAACATAGTGTTAACAATTTAAAATAAAACATCTACATGATTACATTCAAATGTGTGTACAACAAAACATACAAAAGCTTACAAAACTAACAAAAATGTAGTTTCTGTTATTATGATTTTTTACCAACCAAATCTTTAACTGGCAACCCTAAATTTTTTACTCCACATAAAAAAGCACTCTTAACTAACAAGAATTTTTTGCTTAAATTTCTCATCAAAATAAAAGGAAAGCTAACATAAAGAACATGTATCTACATCAAGATACAGACATCTCTTTTTAATCCTGTCATAAATGAATTAAAACATCAAAATTTGAATATGTAATGAAGAACTTTGCATAAATTTTTATAAATTAAAAGATTTCAAGATAAATTTCACCAACATGTTCCTCTTCAGGTTTTTCCAGGTACATTGTACATTTTGTATTTGTAAATTGATAATGAAAGCAGTAAAAACAAAATATTGCTAACATAGGTGGATGTTTCCAGATATTATTTTTATAATATTAAAATGCCAAGCCAGCTTCAGCAACCCTCAGACAATGCCCCCAAAACTAAATTGCTGGAAGGACTCAAGACAAAATACACCAAAAAAATTGGGTGCATAAAAAAGTCAATTACATCAAAAGGTGATGTAATAATAATTAACAAATAAATGATTGACACAAGCTACTGAGTGATGACATAAGTCATAACTTACAATTTATACTTAACAACAAAAGAAACCTCCAACTTCTTCAAAGAACCCCGTACACAGACTTTTATCTTTATCTAAAAGTAAGAGCATTACTGTGTTGAATTTTTTCAAGCAGCAATACCTGCACATTTAAATCTTCATTCTTGATAATCTAACTTGATATGTTTAAAATTTACCACAAATTCATGAAACAAATATATCATACATAAGTTTAAAACCTTACAAATAGGTGGTGATTTTTTTTGTTTGTTGCCCATAATATAATGTATTGCAGTAATCAACAAGAAAGGAAAACAGTGATTCCCACTGCTACAAACATTTTATAAAACTATCACAACATACACTAGTCAGTATCTTCGTCAGAATCTCCTGCACATGTAGTTCTGTCCCTCCTCTTTCACAAAACCGAAGTTTGAGTAAAAATTCACTACAGGATCTTTACATTCTAGTGAGACTTTATAACATCCTACATGTCTGCTTAGTAAAGTTAAATAATCCAACAATCTGCAAAAAGAAACAAGATATGTTTGTAAAACATGTATGCCCCCTATCGGCAGCCAATTAGTCATGTGATCAGGTTATTATGCATGACTTCTGACCCAGTGAACAAACAATTAATAAGGGTTATCTAGTATCTACTGGTCATGACTAGTCACAAGGTAATAATTATTGTGACCCCATAGGTTGTGTGCAGCAATTTAAGTTATTACAAATCTTACCAAATAATATATGCATAAATTTTATGAATCATGTAGGCCTCATTAATGACAGCCAAGTTGTTATATTACATAAGACCTTCAAATGTGTATACCAAAAGCATTTTTAGTTTAATATAAAAAATATCAACCAAAGGCAACTTGAGTTGTTGAGTTATTGGTGCAGAAACCGTCATTAAGTACAAGGTCAATATGACATTGACCCCTTTGACCCAAAATCAATAGGGGTCATCTACTGGGTCATGACCAATCATCATACAAAGTTTGAAGTTCCTAGGCCTAAGCGTTCTTTAGTTATTGATCGAAAACCGTTTTTACCTAAAAGGTCAATGTGACCCTTGACCCTTGGACCCCTTGACCCCACAATCAATAGGGGTCATCTGCTGGCAATGACCAATCATCATACAAAGTTTGAAGTTTCTAGGCCTAAGCCGTTCTTTAGTTATTGATCAGTAAAAACCGTTTTTACTTACAAGGTCAATGTGACCTTGACCTTTGACCCCTTGATCCCAAAATCAATAGGGGTCATCTGCTGGTCATGATCAATCACAATTACCAAGTTTGAAGTTCCTAGACGCTAAGCGTTTCTTTAGTTATTGATCAGAAACCATTTTTACTTAGAAGGTCAATGTGACCTTGACCTTTGGCACCTTGACCCAAAACTCAATAGGGGTCATCTGCTGGTAACGACCAATCATCATACAAAGTTTGAAGTTCCTAAGCCTAAGCGTTTTTAGTTTATTAATCTGAAACGGATTTTACCTACAAGGTCAATGTGACCTTGACCTTTGACCCCTTGATCCCAAAATCAATAGGGGTCATCTGCTGGTCATGACCAATCACCATACCAAGTTTGAAGTTCCTAGACCTAAGCGTTCTTTAGTTATTGATCAGAAACCATTTTTACTTAGAAGGTCAATGTGACCTTGACCTTTTGCACCTTGACCCAAAACTCAATAGGGGTCATCTGCTGGTCACGAGCAATCATCACACAAAGTTTGAAGTTCCTAAGCCTAAGCGTTTTTAGTTAATAAATCAGAAAATGATTTTACCTACAAGGTCAATGTGACCTTGACCTTTGACCCCTTGACCCCACAATCAATAGGTCATCTGATGGTCATGACCAATCACTATACCAAGTTTGAAGTTCCTAGGCCTAAGGGTTCTTTAGTTATTGATCGGAAACCGTTTTTACCTACAAGGTCAATGTGACCTTGACCTTTGACCCCTTAACCCCAAAATCAATAGGGGTCATCTGCTGGTCATGACCAATCACCATACCAAGTTTGAAGTTCCTAGGCCTAAGGGTTCTAAAAGTTATTGATCGGGAAAAAACTGTTTTTACCTTACAAGGTCAATGTGACCTTGACCTTTTTGGGAACCCCTTAACCCCAAAATCAATAGGGGTCATCTGCTGGTCATGACCAATTCACCATACCAAGTTTTGAAGTTCCTAGGCCTAAGCGTTCTTTAGTTATTGATTGGAAACCGTTTTTACCTAAGAGGTCAATGTGACATTGACCTTTGACCCCTTGACATCAAAATCAATAGGGGTCATCTACTGATCATGACCAAACACCATATCAAGTTTGAAGTCCCTAGGCCTAAGGGTTCTTTAGTCATTGATCGGAAACCATTTTTACCTTCAAGGTCAATGTGACCTTGACCTTTGACCCCTTGACCCCAAAATCAATAGGGGTCATCTACTGATCATAACCAATCACCACACCAAGTTTGAAGTTCCTAGGCCTTAAGGTTCTTTAGTTATTGATCGGAAACTGTTTTTGCTTACAAGGTCAATATGACCTTGACCTTTGACCCCTTGACCTCAAAATCAATAGGGGTCATCTACTGGTCATGACCAATCACCATACCAAGTTTGAAGTTCCTAGGCCTAAGGGTTCTTTAGTTATCACTCAGAAACCATTTGGTCTACGGACCGACGGACGGGACGGACCGACAAGTGCAAAGCAATATACCCCCTCTTCTTCGAAGTGGGGGCATAATAACCAGATTAAAATTCCATTTACAAAGATGTCTTGTTTGTTTGATTCTCTATTTTTAAATTTTATGCTGATTTTTACATATATTGGTCACATCTTAGTATTCAGTCCATTTATTTGACTTTCCTGGATAGCTAACCAGTAATTACAAACATATTTCTTTGAAAGTGACCCGTTACTTATCTCACATGATTTCTGACCATTGCTGACCATGAGACTCAATGTCTGACAGTAATACAAATGTTCATAAATTTTCACATAAATTTGCAATAACCACCAAGATGGTGATATCACCACCAAAATCTAATAAATAATTATGGACAAGAAAAATCTATGACACAACCTTGTACAAGTTGGTACAAATCTGTTAAAATGGAACATAACTCCAGGTGTCTTTTAAAACAGGTTTGGTGAAAATCGACTGACCGCAAGCATTTAATATTAATAGATTAATTCTGTTTCTATGGTAACATCTGCATTATTTTCACATAGATTCTATGACAGCTATGACAATTCATAAATCACTGACCTATTTCTACAACATCCCTGCTATGTAAGTGTATATAACTGTTTGTCTTTGTTATTTTTTCACTAATCAAACATTTTATCTAAATTATAAAATCAATTCTTACAATTTGCCCAGCTGTCTCCCTCTGTATTTCTTATCTACGACAACATCCTCTACCCTACCTCTCTGTAATGAAATAAAACAGGTCAATATATCCTTGCTATTATTATGCTTTATGAAAGTATATGATAATATTGCTCATTATGTACATGTACTAAAACAAATATAATACAATACTTTTTTCTCTTTTTCATCACCAATATAAAATATCAGAATTTAGATCACTACAATTCCCAATCCCCAAAGCTTTACAACAATACATTTTCAAATATCTATTAGTATTAAAAATAGTGGCGACATAGCTGAGTGTTTAACACATCAGACTAGCAATCTAATGATCACTAGCCACATGGGTTCAAACCCCATCAGGAGCAAGTCTTTCTTTTCTTGAGCAAGAAACTTTACACTCATTGCTCAGTACTAGTTGGTTCCAGGAACAGATTCGGAAGTGTGTCTATAAAATTATAGCCTCCTACACAATCAAACTTAAAAAATCTGTATAAACCAAAAAAATAGCTTGCAGTCAGCAGTCCTAGCTTCATAAATCAACTAATTTCTCAGTTCATAAAGGGGAATGACTCTGTGGTGATAATCAAGTCTAAAGTTACAAGTCTTAATCTGTGGCATATTCAAGTGAATACCTTCAGTTAATCAGATATTTAGTTTCAAAGAGTAATGTCTACTCTATAATGAGCAGGATATACTTCAAAACTATAAAACCAAATAAAAAAATAAAATTAAAATTTCACTTCAGTTTACACTCCCCTAGATGCAAGACTTAAAAATATTTATCATCTAATAAATTTACTTACACTTGAGCATTCATGTATAAATTTTTGTTCAACTGCTAAAGTAGCTGCACCTATAACCAGATTGCACGTCTTGTCCTCGATTACAACAATGTAATAACCATTCTTACATGATAACATACTATTAAACCTTGCTGAAATAGTAAGTAATTAAATTTTAATGTAATGTTAAACATGTTATGTACATAAAAATACATGAAGCTTAACCAAAGTTAAAATATGCAGTCAACCAGCATTTCAAAGCATCCCTTTGATAAATGGTGCATCTAATTTTACTTATATACTTCTGACTTCAAATTATCAGTGGCAAGTCTTTTGCGTCAGTTTCAAAATTGTCAATAAATAAATTAGCCGTGCCATGACAAAACCACATAGTGCGTTTGCGACCAGCATGGATCCAGACCAGCCTGCGCATCTGCGCAGCTTGATCAGGATCCATGCTGTTCGCTTACTTACCCTACTACAAGTAGAGAAACTAATAGCGATGCGGATGCGCAGGCTTGTCTGGATCAATGCTGGTCGCAAACACACTATGTTGGTTTTGTCATGACGCGGCTCAAATATTTATTTTAGAAAGTACATAATAATTTGACTGGTCAGACTGCAAACAAAGAATAGTCAGAATAAACATACATCAATGCAGTTTAGGTCTACTGTATTTACTACAGATTCTATATAGTAAAATACTATAGCTTATAAAAAAGTAAAATACTATAACTTATAACAAGAGCTGTCCGTAAGACAGCGCGCTCGACTTTTTTATTGCTTGCCAATAAAAAAAGTTTTTGCAGTAAAAGGCAATACAAGAATCTCTGTATTTTTAAAGTGAACAATGGCCATGAGCATTAAGATATTTAGTGAAGAATTATTTTATTATGACATAATTTATGGTAAAGTGAACAAGTGGATAGGAATGAATTTTTTTAGATTTTTTAAGTTTTTTAGTGCTTGCCTATAATACAAAACATTGACAGTTAAGGGCCATAATTCAAATAAAATCTTTGACAGAATTACCTTCTCCTGGACATGTTTGGGAATCATGATTGTAAACAAGTATTCCAACTTTCAAATTAATATCTCAAACAGTTCAGTCAAAAAGTGGACTGGTACTAAAAACTTAACCAAGATTCTAAGTCGATAAAAGGCCTTAATTTTTAAAACAAATCCTTGACAGAGTTACCTTCTCTTGCGTACAGATGGGGGTAATGATGTGAAATAGCATTAAAAGTTTTCAAAGCAATATCTCAAAGGGTTAAGGCAATAAGTGGATTTTACCCATATTCAATGTATTTTCTAAGTCAAAAAGGGGCATAATTCTGTCAAAAACCTTGACAGAGTTATGTCCTCTTGTCTGTTGATGAAGGTCGTGATGGTAAACAAGTATGGTCAGTTTTCAAAGCAATACCTCCAATGGTTTTGAAATAAAGTGAGGTGGTACAAAAAACTTAACCAAGCTCAATACACTTTCTAAGTCAAAAAAGGGCCATAATTCTGTCAAAAACCTTGACAGAGTTATGTACTCTTGTCTGTAGATGGAGGTTATGATGGTGAACAAGTATGGTAAGTTTCAAAGCCATACTTGTAATACTTCTGAAATAAAGTGGGGTGGTACGAAAAACTTAACCAAGGTGTGACACCGACGCCGACGCCGGGGCGAGTAGGATAGCTCCCCTTTTCATAGAAAAGTCGAGCTAAAAATGATAACAAATATTCAAATTTAAATGCATATAATGATATGTACTTGAATAATGTATATATATGTATTATGATAATCACAATATTTGTAATATGTCGCCTAAATTATGTATGTATAATAATAAGCACAATAATTGTAATATGTCGCTCAAATTCTACTATGTTACGTTTCATTTCTGCCATCACCCTGTTAAATTAAGGAACTTTAGCTCTTTTGTGTATGTGTTTACGATTTGTTTAACGTAAGTCCAGTAATTCAATCTATTCTGTTGTATCTTCTGCACAATAACTGGTATTGCATTTGTATTTTAAATGTTTACATTGCTATAATAGATGTGCTGCATAAATACTGGAATAATGCGAGTATATATGCAATTTTGTTTTTTGAAGTTTCAACACTACTAGTTGCATTTCATATCTATGATCACAATGTTTAGGAACTTTTTTTTTTTTGCTTTTCGGTATGGTTAACGTAAATTTAATAATTCACTGTTCCTTGTACATGTAAATTAGATATGTATGTTGCTATTTAATTGAAGCATTAGTTCGTGTTTATACATGTATGTAATCAAGATAGTCCGATGTTACTGCTATTTCACATTTCATCCATATGACCACTCTTTTTTATTATTCCTTACTTTTATTATGTAAAAACGATGTACCTTTTACGCAAACTCATTGAGAATTTCTAGCTCATATTAGCAATATATATTTGTACCTTTACATAGTAACTAATTAGTTGTTTAATAGATTCTACGTTAAGAAAATATATTACCAGTATTTTGTACATGTACTTCAGATCATCCTATGTATAAAAGAAGTAACTTTATTGAATTATGTAAATAATGACATCATTGATTTCCCGGTGACATATAGGCCCAAAGGGCCGGGTGCCTTTTATTTCATCTGTATATTATGTATCTATGTCATTTATGCACATGTCACGATAATAAACTATATCTTATCTTATCTTATTCAAACAGCATTTATATACAATTTGTTTATACTTTTAAACAAAGACAGTTAAATCTACCTAACATAAAGTGGGGTGTGGTAAACAATAGGGGTGTGGATCGCGGATAAGTGACGATCCGATCCGAACCACGATTCAGCACTTACGATACACAAATCGTACCACAAATCTTTTGTTATCAAGACACCCATAAAATATGTACATTAGTTATAAAAACATGTTTATTTAAAAATACAAAAAACAATACTAAACATTAAACATAAAATATAAACAAGGTTTATGTTTTTATTCTTTGGATGAGTATTTTTTTTTTTTTTTTTTTTGAAACCAATTACTACCTAGCTCAGCATCATGGTAACATTAACCAGCAAATTGTATTTAGGTAAACTTCATATAATTTATACTTGAATTGTATTTTTCTTGATTTTAAATGTGTGAGAAACATTGAATGTATAAAAAAAAATTAGATCGCGATCCACAATCTCTGGGCTTACGAATATTCAAACTTGATTTTTCACTTTGATTTGTGATTATCCGAGTACTCGGATACTCGCCCAAGCCCTAGTAAACAACGGTCTATTTGATTTGCTGTCTCCATACTTATGGGTCACAAGTTTACAACCAAAATTACTTATAATGATACAAAATGTGATAATTTTTACCAAAATAATGAATGAAATGAAACAAGAAAATGTTTAAACTTAGTAGTACCTTCAAACTGTTCTCTGGAGACATCCCCAACCACTGTAAGCTGTTTTAAAAGCACCATAAATCCTTAAAAAAAAGTCAAACAACAATATAACATAATAACATAATTATTAAATCACAGTACATGTACTTTAATTAAACAAAAACCAACATTATTTTTTATTTCATAATTTTATTTTAATATGTTTGCAAAAAAAATCATTTTTTTATTAAATTTTCTGTTCTTTTTCTTTGTCAATCTTAAAACATCTGTTGCTTTTTAAAATATAAAATCTGTTTCATTTTTGACTACTGGTGATACATTCCAGTTTCTATACAAGAACCAGAACTTTACAAACGTTGTACTTAAAGAAGCATTTAAATCAGCTTCTTCACAAGTGATTTTTTTACAACAGTAAATGAATAGCAAACTATTTATTAAACATGGTTATAAAATTTTATGCATCTTCAGTCTACATTCAAATAGTTCTCTTCTACAAATGATTAAGCTTCACTCCACAATACATTTGGATCATGGGCTAGTCCTTTTTAGATACTAAAACTGTCTATTCTGAGTTTAAAAGATAACAATACCAAACATTATAAGGGGTGACAAAATAAATTGTCTGTATTGCTCAGGTTGTCCCACAGCTTGTGTGGACAAGTGAAAACTTTTCCTCAAACACTTATTTAATATCATATAGACAAATTAAAAAATGTGATAAAGATAAAATTTTGCGAAACCTGTAATTATCCTTATATGATAAATGAGCTGCCAATACTACAGAGACAGGTAAAACTGGTAGGAAAATCAAGTCACTATCACTTAACCCCTAGAATTTCTAAAATGGTTTTATCCACACTGTCCATTAGCTTGGGAAATATTAAGATGAAAAGTTCAAGTCGGCCAAAATTATGCAGCTTGGTAAAGCTGCCTGGATCTATAGTGGCAAAGACTGTGTTATTTAATTCCAGCCGGTTATAATGGTCAATGATAGCATGTTATATGGTCAATGATAGCATGTTATATGGTCAATGATAGCATGTTATACGGTCAATGATAGCATGTTATATGGTCAATGATAGCATGTTATTATGGTCAATGATAGCATGTTATACGGTCAATGATAGCATGTTATACGGTCAATGGTAGCATGTTCTATGACCAATGATAGTATGTTATATGACCAATGATAGTATGTTAAACGGTCAATGATAGTATGTTATATGACCAATGATAGTATGTTAAACGGTCAATGATAGCATGTTATACGGTCAATGATAGCATGTTATACGGTCAATGGTAGCATGTTCTATGACCAATGATAGTATGTTAAACGGTCAATGATAGCATGTTATACGGTCAATGGTAGCATGTTAAACGGTCAATGATAGCATGTTATACGGTCAATGGTAGCATGTTATATGGTCAATGATAGCATGTTATATGGTCAATGATAGCATGTTATATGGTCAATGATAGCATGTTATACGGCAGGGTCATAACTGCGTTCAGGGCGAAGTCAGGCGAAAACTTCGCCGTAAATATTTTCACTTCGCCCTATATGATCTGAAAAGCGAAATTATAGTCGCCCTAAAATCTCTATGAAATGTCTGACATGTATATTTCTCCACACGATAATTTTGCCTGGAGGCAGATTTAATTGTGTAATCTGACATAATTAGCACACGTGCTGAAGCGTGGCCATAGCGACATTTGGAATTCACACTTGGAAATCCACATCGCTAAAAATAGCGCATTGATTATACGGTAAATTAAAGCTGTGAAAGACCCTGATATGAATGCAGCAGATGATAAAAAGCAAGCTAATTGATAATTAAGTTACCTCAAACGTATATTTGTGTCTTATTTACAATATCCCCTGTACGTTTTGTTTGTTTCACAATATTCCCTTAACGTTCTGTTTGATTTACTAGTTCTCCTATATGTCCTGTTTGATTTACTATTTCCCCTATATGTCCTGTTTGATTTACAATATCCCATATATGTTTGTTATAACCATTACATTTATGATAGTAATATTCATCATTAAAACTGATGTAAATTGATAGAATTTGGATAATTATTATGAATTAAAGAACTTTTCATCCTAATTAATAAATTGCATTTAAAAGTTAAGAGTCAGAAGCTGTTGAACCTAAAAAAAAAAAAAAAAAAAAAATGTTGTGTTGATGTAAATCAAATGCAACTAGTACTTCATTAAATATCATCATAGCGATTTTCAAATACACATTTGTTTATTTTCCATGCCATATACATGTATATTTTATATGCATGTACATATAAAGATATACATGTATATTTTGTGAAATAAAATTAGAAAAAAAATCCAATGATATAACTCGATTTGATGATCACTTCTCCCTATATTTCAAAACTTCTCCCTATTTTTCCTTTACTTGACTTCTCCCTAAATTTTCAGTCCAAGGTAGTCCCTGTATACGGTCAATGATAGCATGTTATACGGTCAATGATAGCATGTTATACGGTCAATGATAGCATGTTCTATGACCAATGATAGTATGTTATATGGTCAATGATAGCATGTTAAACGGTCAATGATAGCATGTTATACGGTCAATGATAGCATGTTATATGGTCAATGATAGCATGTTATACGGTCAATGGTAGCATGTTAAACGGTCAATGATAGCATGTTATACGGTCAATGGTAGCATGTTATACGGTCAATGATAGCATGTTATATGGTCAATGATAGAATTTTATATGGTCAATGGTAGCATGTTATATGGTCAATGATAGCATGTTATATGGTCAATGATAGCATGTTATATGGTCAATGATAGCATGTTATATGGTCAATGATAGCATGTTATACGGTCAATGGTAGCATGTTATACGGTCAATGATAGCATGTTATACGGTCAATGGTAGCATGTTATACGGTCAATGATAGCATGTTATATGGTCAATGATAGCATTTTATATGGTCAATGGTAGCATGTTATATGGTCAATGATAGCATGTTATATGGTCAATGATAGCATGTTATATGGTCAATGATAGCATGTTATATGGTCAATGATAGCATGTTATACGGTCAATGATAGCATGTTATACGGTCAATGATAGCATATTCTATGACCAATGATAGTATGTTATATGGTCAATGATAGCATGTTATATGGTCAATGATAGCATGTTATACGGTCAATGGTAGCATGTTAAACGGTCAATGATAGCATGTTATACGGTCAATGGTAGCATGTTATACGGTCAATGATAGCATGTTATATGGTCAATGATGGCATGTTATATGGTCAATGATGGCATGTTATATGGTCAATGATGGCATGTTATATGGTCAATGATGGCATGTTATATGGTCAATGATGGCATGTTATATGGTCAATGATGGCATGTTATATGGTCAACGATAGCATGTTATATGGTCAATGATAGCATGTTATATGGTCAATGATAGCATGTTATATGGTCAATGATAGCATGTTATATGGTCAATGATAGCATGTTATACGGTCAATGATAGCATGTTATACGGTCAATGATAGCATATTCTATGACCAATGATAGTATGTTATATGGTCAATGATAGCATGTTATATGGTCAATGATAGCATGTTATATGGTCAATGATAGCACGTTATATGGTCAATGATAGCATGTTATATGGTCAATGATAGCAGGTTATATGGTCAATGATAGTATGTTATATGGTCGATGATAGCATGTTATATGGTCAATGATAGCACGTTATATGGTCAATGATAGTATGTTATATGGTCAATGATAGCACGTTATATGGTCAATGATAGTATGTTATATGGTCAATGATAGCAGGTTATATGGTCGATGATAGCATGTTATATGGTCAATGATGGTACAAACCTTTATCATAATCACTCAACCTTAATGATCTCATTAACAAATCTTCCCCAGGATCGGTAGGTGAGATGGGTGGATTGTATGTACTGCTACATTGTGTAAAGTCTACCTCCTTTAATAATTTGTCATCAAATAATGATACATCTTCCATATCTTCCATACCATTCTATAAAATACAATATAACAATAAAACCATTAAAACTTCTCTGAGTTTAAAAGGATTTCAATTTTATAAATTTTAGATAGATCTCAACAGTTAACCTTTAATAACAAGAGCGATCAGTAATCACATGTGTCGCCTCATGATGGCCAATTTCATGTTGGGACAAATTTTGTGACAGACGGACAGACAGACGGACAGTGCACAACTAGACTAACCACTTTGTACTGATCATTCCTGTAAAGTTTGGATAAAATTGCACCAGTAGTTTATGAGGAGTAGTCCGGACAAGCTTTTGCGTATCTGGCAACACACAGAAAAAAAACCTTTTTATCAAAGGGCCATAACTCGGCCAAAAATCATTCAACCGGAAAACCCGTGCAATATGCGCAAGGACTTGAGCTACAGATCAATCCTGTAAAGTTTCATTGAAATTGCATAAGTGGTATAAGAGAAGTAGTCTGGACAAACTTTAAAAATAAAAATTTTTAAAGGGCCATAACTCAAACAAAAATCATTGAACCGGAAAATGCTGACAATATGCACAACAAGACTTGGTACTGATCATTCCTGTAAAGTTTGGATGAAATTGCACCAGTAGTTTATGAGGAGTAGTCCGGACAAGCTTTTGTGTATCTGGCAACACACAGAAAAAAAAACCTTTTTATCAAAGGGCCATAACTTGGCCAAAAATCATTCAACCGAAAAACCCGTGCAATATGCGCAAGGACTTGAGCTACAGATCAATCCTGTAAAGTTTCATTGAAATTGCATTAGTGGTATAAGAGAAGTAGTCCGGACAAACTTTAAAATTGAAAATTATTAAAGGGCCATAACTCTGACAAAAATCATTGAACCGGAAAATGCTGACAATATGCACAACTAGACTTGGTACTGATCATTCCTGTAAAGTTTGAATGAAATTGCACCAGTAGTTTATGAGGAGTAGTCCGGACAAGTTTTGTGACGGACGGACGGACAGACGGACAGACAGACAGACAGACAGACAGACGGACAGACGGACAGACGGACAGACAGACGACGGAGAAGTGATCCCTATATGTCGCCACTACTCCGTAGAGGCGACACAATAACCTAACCAGGATGAAAGATAAGAAGCATGAAGATGTTACAGATTGTATAAAACATTTTCCCTGTATATGCAGTTTATCCTGTTTTGACATGGTTATCTTATTCCATTCAGATTTATGTTGAAATTAAGTGCTCTCTATACAAATATTGATATTTTCCCTGTTTAGATTACACTTAGAGGTTTTTTTTAAAAATAAAATTTGTCACAATGCTCTCATTTATCTTTCTGTAAAATAGTACATGATGTACTGATATTACTATAACTGTAACAAACAGTTCAGATAAGTTGTTTGAGATTCTTCATTTCCAGCTGATGTAGCTTGCATGTTATTTTACATAAATGTATATGCATTTTATTTCATTAAATTGCTACAAGTTGCTAAAACCAATCTGGGCAAATAGTCACCATAATGTTTGAAACCTTAACCTAAAAATATTCAGTTACCGTAGCAATTTCATTGTTAAATATCTACAGGTAAATATATTTAACTATTATTTTATATAGCTTTAGCCTGTTGAACCCTGACCAGCCATGTTTAAAATGAGTTATGTCAACAGGATTTATGATTTTTATTTGACTTACTGTTTACCAAGACACTTACATAGTTTTACAACTGATTTTTCATTGCTGACTAATTATTAGTTTTCTCAATGTTAACCCTTTGAGTTGAATATAATCTGCAATGTTTTGCAGGGACCTCTAACAATTGTATTATCTGTACATTCTGTAAAGTAAAACTTTTAAAATCTTTTTAAAGATATACAATGCTCATCCTTGCGTAAAATATTTTTATAAAAGAATTTTATTGAAATCTATGTAATTCTTACTGAATATGTCCAATTTGAATAAAAGAATGAATAAATTATGTATTGTAAGCTGTGTTCCCTATTGCAGGTCAAGTAAAATTGGTCTTTTCTTAAAATTAAACTGTCAGTTTTTTTAATGATACTACATGTATATATTCATAATGTAACCACCTTAAGTGTGTAGAATTTTAAATACAACATATCTAATTTGGGTGAAGTTAAAACATAGTTATTTTATATTTACAAAGAGACTGTGTAGCAATTATAAATATTTTCAAATATGAAATTTGAGCATAGTATATCTTTAACTGAAAGCTTTGTAAAATTTCATCACAACCAAGCTGCATTGTCCATGATAAACATGATGAATTGTTAATACAAATATACCATGAAGCACTGCTCACGATAACCATGATGCATTGCCCATCATAACCAAGATGCATTGCCCTGGGGCAAATAATAATACCAATAAAAAAAAAAAATATCACAGCCATAGTCTTGATAATGACCATTTGTGTTACAATCCCTCAATAAATGATGACTAAATGGTCCATATACACATCTTCATATTTTTATCTGAACTTTGACCTCTATGTGTGACCTTGACCTTGGCCGCAAGGACCTGAATCTTGCACGCGACACTCCGCCTTACAATGGTGAACATTTGTGCCAAGTAATATTGAAATCCCTCTATACATGTGGAAGTTTTGCTCCGGACAAGCATTTTTCAATGAGCTCTAAGTGTGACCTTGACCTTTGACCTAGAGACCTGGTTCATGTGCGCGACACTGCTCCTCATAGTGGTGAACATTTATATGAAGTTTCATTAAAATCCCTCCATACATGTAGGAGATATGCTCCGGCCAAAATTGGACGCCGCCCGCCAGGGGCGTTCCCATAATACGTCCCGTTTTTCAAACGGGCGTATAAAAACGAGATATTATATATTTCTTCCTCCAAATTGAAATAAATGCTTGACATATTATAATAGAAATAAAAGGTATCACTCGATCATTATGATCTGACCTTTATGACTTCTTTTATCATGAAAATCATCTATGCACGGCATAGATATCCAGTTTCTACTGGGATATACAATAAATTCCATACTTTGTCCCAGGTTTATTAGTACTGTGTTCGATTTACTGGCGAACAATTTATTCAGAGCATTCACTGATAGTATATATTAATATCTTTTTTTATTGATTCATAGAGAAATGATCATCCTTAAACAATCTAAAATGGTTTAGAAATTTGTCAGGGACACCTTACCACAAGTCATATAGGCGTTCACATAAAAAATGTTGTCTGTTTTTGTTGTTGTTTTACTTGACATTGTAAGAAAACGAGGTTGAATGTAAAGCAAGCCGATGAATCCGTACAAAAGTCCATAAACTCAATGTAATATCTATCAGATTAACGGGACAGACACATTATTTTCACACATTATGGATATTTTAGCAACTATATTTTAAATCAACACGTGGTCGTGCGATTGGCCGCTATGCATAATTTTATGTTTCATACATTATGTTACGTACATTGGCCGACAATTTCTTATTTTATAAAAATGCTTAATATAAGGTAGACGATATTCATAAAAGATGTACGGTATTTGTACGCGTACGATACATGAATTACGAGTAGTATGGACCAGTATGGACGGGTAATTCACGGATATATGGAACTACCGATTTCCCTCATTGATGCCTCAACAGGGGGCGGAGCGTTATCGATAATTGACAGGTTACGCGAATAGCAGATAAAAATGGTACAGGTACCGTTTTAAAACGTTTAAAAACACATTTTTTGGACGAACTGCTTCCAAAATTAAATCACGAATGTGTTCAGAAAAGGTTGATAAATCTACTAAGCAAAGAATCTCATTTTAGGTATTTTCAGTAATAATTGACTCCGTTGTCACCTTAAGCTGCTGACAATATAGACTTTGTTCAGAACACGCTGTGCAGCATAGCTTGGTTTAAAATTGCAGACAAATAAGCTTGCAATGAGCAACACTTTAGCTGAAAGTGCTTTGGTGAACACAGATATGTATGTATGTAATTACACTGTAAATCCGGTATTTTTCGCGATGTTTTAATTTTCGCTATAATTCGCGAATCGGCCGCGTCACGAATTCATGATGCCGCGTAAATTTTATAACAAAACATACATTATATACATACATTATTAAAAAAAAATCTGATGATATTTTTATCGAATTGTGATAAAGTGAATACATTTTAATGAAATCAATAACTGAATGCAAATAATTAATATGTGCAATGTTTTATATACATCATAATAAAGATATGAAGGTTAAAGATTTTTTCCCATTCTCTTTTCCTCATGAATACATGCATGTAAAACACAAAAAGAGACAATATCCACAAATTGTGCACTTTACAGACAAATGTGAACACATATTGTTTAGATGACAATTGATTTACGGTAAAACAGTGATCAACGGACAATTTTCATACGGTAGATTAAGTATTATAAACAAGTATATAACACCTTCTTACAAACATCTAACGTTTTATCAAACACGTTTTTTTGCAAACAAAAAACAAATTTGACAAATGATAAATAAAAACATTCATAATAAGTCAATTACAATTTTGTATACAAATCAAATAAATAAAAACCGTCTCTTATTAAACACCATTAACATTTACCTTGTATAAGAGCAACACAGTATAAGATAACTTCAACCTACCCTGTAATATTGAGGAAATAAAATTAAAATAATCACGAATATAAATTTCTGACCCTGCCATCGCAAATTCATGAATATGCAAAATAATCCAGGGGTAGGGTTTTCGCGAAATTAAGATCAAGCGAATATAAAGTGATTTACAGTACTCAGGACTTGAGATGCCTTCAAAGTAATACTTACTCTTATAGGGGGAAAAATTCCTTACCCTATATAGGGGGAAACATTCCTTAAGTTACACTATATTGGAGGAAAAATGTTTTGTTTAATTTTGTACAAAAATGAACTGTAAAATTATAAAATTTATGTCACAATGTGTGTTATGTTAAGCAAATGTAACACTTCAGTGTACTTATTATTCATATATCTTATTCACACATTATATTTTTCC